CATTTAGAGCATACCGATTGAAATCCTTGCATAGGCCTTGTCAATAGCTCTAGTGGAAACGGAAAATATTCAAAATGGAAACCTTGCATTAAAGACTTATATTTCTCGAATAAAAAGATGGAAAAAAATAGCAACTAACCCGTGTGAGTGTCGGATATTGCGGTGAAAGCCAAAATGTAGTCGTTGGAAGCGGTCAATAAGTGATTGAGATGCGGTGAGGCAACATTGACATCCTCCACCAAGAGTAGCCAAGCGCCATCGTTCAAAAAATCAGAAGGCTGGCAAGATGTCACATAGTAAGGCAGATTAAGTTTTGCTGCAAGCAGAGCTATTCGAACGTGGAAAGCTCCAATGAAAACAGACACAAGGTCTAAGCAAAACCGAAGTACCATGGAAAGGGTAGGTTGTTAAGAAAAGAGACATACCGATGAGTCAATAAAAGCGCATCTCATCAAAACATCCGCTAAATGTAGCAATTCTGATAAATGTAAATAAGGGACTTGGCTTTCCAGAAAATTTAGAGACGTTTAAGGTCATTTTAGAGAGATGGCCTATTCGATCAGCTGTCTCCTAATACTGTTGTAAACTAAGAGTAATAATATATTCAAAAAATACCCACTTTAGGTCCCTTTAAATATGCAAAGTCTACAAGGAAGGGGAGTGAAAGCTCCATTTTGCAAATGCTGTTATAAATGTTTAAAATGCTTAAACTAATTTTCTGTCTATGAGTAACTTCGTATTCTATGACGGTTCTGAGCCTTATTTGTGATCCGTGCAAAAATACGTAGTAGAATTAAGTTTAAACTTAGCGTTAAATTCCAGTAAAGTGAATATCATATCAAAATAGTAAACAATAATTACCCTTGGATGAAAAGTCATATGAATCCGGATCGATGACAATGCCCGTTTGATTGAACGGAATCACATATCTGTCGAAATCCTCTTGCCTAAATACTCCTAAATATAGAATTAAAATAGATAATTGCAAAAAAACACCTAAAAATCTCAACTTAATAAATAACTATACAATAATGCAAGAGTATTTAATTTTTACAAATTCAAATTGAATTTGACTATTACGTACTTCCTAGACAAATTTTTAATCTTGTATACACTGTTTTGATATCTTGCAGTTTTATAAAACTTATGTCTTTTTCTAACTTTGTCAAACAAATGTACAAACGGAGTTGATTATGCTAAACAAACATTGTGTATACGAAAATTTGGCACAGTCTATGGGTTATTCTCCTTCGTCTGAGGTGAAAACGGGTGGAACTTTCGCCCGTCATATGATAGACATCGCAAGGGTTGAAAGTCATTCTGACAATAGCTACAAATTTGGATGAATAGCAGTTATATGGTGGACGTATGAGCTACTCAGGCAAAGAAGTTGATAAATAAGAAATAAATGAAAGGAATAAATACATGATTGCCCAGTAAAG